TTTCCTTTCCTTTCCTTTCCTTTCCTTTCCTTTCCTTTCCTTTCCTTTCCTTTCCTTTCCTTTCCTTTCCTTTCCTTTCCTTTATAAAAAAAAAAAAATAAATAAAATAAATTCAGATACAACAACTGTTTTCAACTGAATGGGTAAAATAAAGTCAAGAAAACTCTTCAAATCTTAATGTGAGACTGCCTACAGCCTGATCACATTAAACTCCCAGATATAAAATACTAGCGGGAATTTGTTCCTACTTTCCAATAAGAATCAGAGTTTAGTATGCTTTGCCCTTCTATTCCTTTGAAGACTGGGAACAGCTGAAGTTGTGACTCCTGGAATTTTGTCTTGAGTAAAATGTTGCTTAGTTTTTCATATTGATAATTTTCTTTTTAAAGTCACATACAATCTAAAGTGGTGCATTTTTCACATTTCTTTTCCACATGCATTATATACCACCTAATTCTCACTATCAGGCAGACAATGAATGAGTGTCGTAGGACAGAATCCTCATGCAAACTCAGAGTAACTGACTTGCCCAAGTGAAAAGGAATACAATTCTCTTCTGTACTGCCATAGCTCTTGATTACTTTCATTTAAGCTACACTCTCCCAGTTTCTTAGATAACTGTTGATTTAAGAATGATACTGTTAGATACCACATTAAATCATACAAGTAACAGAGGACAATATGTGGTGGTACCAAGTAACATAGAGTCCTTTCCGTTTACAAAATGCTTTCACAAATATTCTTATTTGAAGCTTGTAAGAGCTCTGTTACACTTATTTTTCATATAAGAAAAGAGGCAGAGATGCACATCTACATACTGTTATATGAAAGAGTACAGTGATCTTTCCTATACTAAAGTTGTCTCAAGAGAATGTGACTGGAGTAGAAAGGTTTATTTCAGTCTCAAATTTGCTTTCTATAAACCATTTACATAGCTATTAGAGGAATCAGCTATTATATGAGGAATTTACCTAATGTCACAATTATCTCACATTGGAAACAATTATAGTGAGTATATAGTTCAGAATGATGTACTTTTTAAAAAGAATATTGTAGAATTAATTCTGACTGGTAATCAAGACCAACCACAAGCATATTTGGTAGCTAGTATTATTAAACTTTGTTTTTCTAAGCAAGTTAAGTAGTTGAACTGGTATTTCTGTCCATTCTTGCAAAAGAGATAAACTTCACTTCTGATTCAATAGGCCTGGGAGACAATGGACTGGTATAAAACTCTCTAATGGCTAAAAAGTGAGTAAGAAGCATTATATGAGGGCTGAACTCTGGGAAGAAGGACACTGCAACAGAACACATTTTCCTTGCCAGATAATACTTCACTTCTGTGACTTCTTTTCTACTAGCTAAAGAAGATGGGAAGACAACCAGCATGCTGACAAGGTCCAAGAAAGATTACTAATACCAACATCTGCCAGAAGCTATACCCATCCCTGAGAGAATGCAGCAAATGTCTTGCCTTGAAGCTAGAATTGGGAAAACAAGGAATGCATTGTTCATGGCTATTTCCTTTATTTCTGTTGGTTGCTCTAAATGTAAGAGGCATATTTTTCTTTTTTAAGTGTTTATTGTTCCATGTTAGATTCAGTGAACCCATAAGGGTAAGAGAGGAATGAGATAAGTTGTTTCCCCAACAGCCCCTGTTCCTCAAATTAACTTGGAAAAGTCATCTAACAGAGCTATGATACTATATAAAATTAATAATTAAAATCAAATACAGTACAATTTTTGTCTAATCTCTCATATTGCTTATACCCAAACGGAAACGCTCACCATAATTAAAGTTGCTCAAATTGCTGCTATACTTCCCACTGGGAGGATTATAAATCTGCCTGGCATCCCTTTTTGGTCCTGCTGGAGATTTCTTGGGAGGTGAACCTGACGTTGTGTCTTCAGTGGCTCTCTTTTGCCTACAATGATAGGATGAACAGCAATTAAAAAAATATTCTCTTATGCCAGAAGCTATCAATGTTTCAGGAAAGACATTCTAAAGAGGACACTCACATCAGAAAAAAGGAAATAATGTTCGGTGTCAGCAAATTAACCATAGCTTGGTTATGCAGACATTGTCAGAAGGCATTTACAAGGCTTTAAAATAATCTGAAATATGTAGCTTCATAGGCTTACATTTAAATGACTCACTTTATAATACACTTGTCAGAAAATTCTAGTTATGCTACAATACAAAGCCTGAAAATTCTAGGGTTGTACTCTACCAGTTTATTTCACAAATACTAGAATTAGATTTTGTATCTTAAGTCATGCTTCTAATAGTCCTATTTTAATGTTATTAAGAATCACTTAACTAACAATGTACCATTTTGTACAGTAAATGCAACTGAATTCTGATTTTGATAACACTCAAATCCCTTTTAAATATATTTCTTACCCCATCTCAACTTTCTGTACAGGTTTCCAGGATAATGTTACTGTGCTCTTATAAGAAGGAGGAATGTGGAAGAGATCCTGAAAAGACAAAATTTGACAAGATTTCTGATGTATCTGTTGGTGGCAGGCAATGGTAATGAGGGTAGGAAACAAGGAGATAAAGCTTAAAGATTAAATTTAGGAGGGACAGCTTACATTTACTTCTTGCTCTTGTTACTGGTGACTAAAATAAGAACCCACATAAAATTGCAACAGAAAATTAAACAGAAACAATTTTGTTTACAAATCACTTATTACCTCAATAACATAATTTTGTACATATCACTTAAACAGCAACTAATTCTTTTCTAAATGCCATTCTAAGTTCAGGATAAAAAGATCAATATTTATCAACTTTTATAAACAAAGCTAATAATTAAGTATTTTATTTTTGCACATATGTAGTCAATGAGGTGCTTTAGGGAAAATACAATGGTGCAATCTTCATCTGCCTTGACAGGTTTTTAAGTGGCTCAAAATCAGAATGAAACTAAAGCCCTGGCTAATAATGTTTCTCCCCCTTCAAATATCTAAACACTATCAATAAGGGAAAAACGTATAAGATTTAAATACCAAGTTATCAATATGTGGTAGGAAGTAAACATTTCTTGAATTTTAATGTTAAAATAATCTGGAACTGAAATAGTCTAACCTCATAGTATCTACAAAAACAATGAATGAATTACTAAACATATTTATTCTTTTTTTTTTGAGACAGAGTCTCACTTTAAAAATGAGTATACTAATAAAAATTACCTCTTATTATATAAAACTTAAGTCCAGTGTACCAAAAAATGCAGGGAACTGGCCAATGTACCATGCTTTGAATAAAAAATGCTTGAAGTTTCTGGCTGGAGTGATTCAGCATATGATAATATTATTAACTGAGAAAGGTATCATATTCAGCATAATGATACTATTATTAACATGAACAGTAAAGGGTAAGGCTTCAATTTTAAACATGTTAAATCTTAGGGGACAATAGGAAATTGGGGTATAGTTTGGAGATTCATTAAAATAGAAGTGAAGGTAAGTTGTAGAATTAAATGAGTCTGCCTAGGTAGAAACTAGATAGGTAAAGCTTTTGAAAAATGCCAAGGATGAACCCAAGCACACTAGTTTTTCCTGTGATCTCTTTAAAACAAGTAGTTGATCATGTCACATACTCCTACTCAATTTAAGAAATATTTCACAATTTGCTGGTAAGGCACTTGTGATATCATCATATGTATACAGTTAACTCTCTGTATCCATGGGCTCTACACATCCATACATTCAACCAACCACGGATTGGTTAGGGCAAAAAAATTTGCACAAAGTTCCAAAAAGCAAAATTTGAGAATATAGTCATGTGTAGGCATTATATTAGGTATTATTAATAATCTAGAGATGATATAAAGTATAGGGGAGGATGTGTGTATATATGCAAATACTATGCCATTTTATATAAGGACATAAACATCCATGGATTTTGATATCTGAGGGGTCCTAGAACCAATTCCCCATGAATGCAGAGGGAGGACTGATTGACTGTATTTTTAGTTTCTTCATCCATGGTTCCTGGCTTACAACTCCCGTAACTCTTATAATTTCGTAAGTGACTGCATCAATATCTGGCCTTTTGTCCTTTGTTCCTGAAATGGCTCCAGAGCAATAAAGTTGAGATACTTTTGTTATTTTCAACGAGCACTTTTCAACCACATCTGAGCTTATGTTAATAAGGTGAATTTTGAAAAGTCCCTACATAAACACAGGCTGGAGTAGGGGGACTGGCTGCCAGGGGAACCAACCATGTGTTCAGGGGGTTGGGACACACATTCCTACACCTCACCTCCAAGAAGGGGAGAGGGGCTAAAAGTTGAGCCATCAACCATGGCCAATGATTTAATCAATCATGCCTACATAATGAAGCCTCCCCAAACACCAAACGGACTGACAGAGGGGGGGCTTCTAGGAGGGTGGTGCACACTAAATCCATGTGGATGGAAGTTCCTGCGCCGAGAACCCTTCCAGACTTTGCCTGTCTCTTCATTTGGCTGTTTATTTGTATCCTTTCAAATAGCCTTTATAAGAAACATAGGTGAACCTATTCATCTTCTTTCCCATATACCTTCTTTACTATAGTCATCTTTAGATTGCTTATAATTTTCTGAATAGAAACTTTCTCATCTACATGCATTAGGTCATAGTATTTGTTATGTTTAAAAAGTTCTTAACACCATATTAAATTTTCAACACAGACTTATATCAACAGTTCATATCAAGTCAAATCTCACATTTTTTTTTTTTTTTTTTTTTTTTTGAGACAGAGTCTCACTTTGTTGTCCAGGCTAGAGTGAGTGCCGTGGCGTCAGCCTAGCTCACAGCAACCTCAAACTCCTGGGCTCGAGTGATCCTTCTGCCTAAGCCTCCCGAGTAGCTGGGACCACAGGCATGCGCCACCATGTCCGGCTAATTTTTTATATATATATATATCAGTTGGCCAATTAATTTCTTTCTGTTTATAGTAGAGACGGGGTCTCGCTCTTGCTCAGGCTGGTTTTGAACTCCTGACCTTGAGCAATCCGCCCGCCTCGGCCTCCCAAGAGCTAGGATTACAGGCGTGAGCCACAGCGCCCGGCCAAATCTCACATTTTAATGTATGGATTTACTGTGAAACTATTATTTATGCTTAAGATTTATAATAAATGGTGGCTTTTATAAAAATTTCCAGAGGAGAAATGAGTTAGTATTCTTACCTCTTCTGTTTTTAATTCCTTTTTACTTTTCTACTTAGCAATATGATATTCATTTCTCAATGTCTAACTCTTTCTTGCTTTCTCTGAAAAGCTTCCCTCTCTTCTGATAAAAAGTACAGACGGCCTTTGAACAACACCAGTTTGAACTGTGTAGGCCCACTTACAGTGGAATTTTTTTCAACAAAAGTTATACCAAGTATCTGCCTACATATAAAATATGTGTTAATTGATTGCTTATGTTATTGGTAAGGCTTCCAGTCAACAGTAGGCTATCAGTAGTTTTGGGGGAATCAAAAGTTATATAAGGCCAGGCGTGGAGGGTCACGCCTGTAATCCTAGCACTCTGGGAGGCTGAGGAGCCTGAGTGAGACTCCATCTCTACTAAAAATAGAAAGAAATTAATTGACCAACTAAATATATATATATATATATAGATATACAAAAAAGAAAAAAATTAGCTGGGCATGGTGGAACATGCCTGTAGTCCCAGCTACTTGGAAGGCTGAGGCAGTAGGATCGCTTGAGCCCAGGAGATTGAGGTTGCTGTGAGCTAGGCTGATGCCACGGTACTCTAGCCTGGGCAACAGAGTGAGACTCTGTCTCAAAAAAAAAAAAAAAAAAGTTATACAAGGATTTTTGACTGCACAGGAGGGTGGGGGGGTCAATACCCCAATCCCTGTGTTGTTGAAGCATCAACTGTAATTATTCCATACGATTTTTACCAGATTAGCTTTGAGGCAAACTACTCTCAATTTTGTTACTGTCAGGCTTTGCACACTCTAGATGTTACAGATATCATTTCTTTCTCCCACTTGGCTACAATAATGTTAAGTTGTAGTAATAAGTGATGGCTACTTCGGGATTCTGTTTTTGTTCTCTCAAGTTAATAGTTTTTTGTTTAGGTTAGCAGATGCTCAGGAAGAGTAAACAGAACTGAAGGGTATTTATGGCTTAATGATAAGTTATACCTCTAGGCAACAGTACAGAAAGCTCTTAGTTCATCATATAGACAAGTTTACAGAAAAGACTATGGGAAAACATTTCACGTGCTACATAGCACATGTCCATTCTTAGAGTAAGTGAAGCAGAGTTTTCTGGCTATTCAAAAGGACCCCAAAGCATTAAGACTCAGAGCTTAAGTCACTGAAAATTCTGACTTTAAATCTTCTGCTTCAATGCCTTGAGTCATAGGAAATTTGCATGCCACCTTTGTGTGCTGTAACTTCTGAAAAAATTTTAAATAAATAAAACAGTGTTGTTTTATAATAGCTACAGAAATGCCACCTGGTATTATAAAACACATGGAAAATCTCTTGCGCTGATTTTTTTAGCTAGCTGGTTGGGTTAGGTAAGAAAGGAAAACTTACCTTGATTAAAACATTGATATTATTTGTTATTTTTAATGCAACGACTTTAATCTTGTTCTGCAAAGGGAAACCAAAATTAAATTAAAATGCCATAACTTCTATGATGCATACTCCATTCCGACATAGAACTAGAGTAATTACACTTCTCTTTCAGAATCACTTCTACAGTCAGTAAATTCCTTGGTTTAAAACCATCGAGAAAACTTATTCCTATTCTGGACTCTAAACAACTCTAGAGATGACAAAGAAAGCAAATAATCTTTATGTTGCCTTAATAGATATAATGTTATTATAGATAACATTAAAATGTTATCTATAATTTACCTGAAAAATGAGTAAGGGATAGGTCATATGCATAAAGGAGTTGTTTTAAAAGAAATCACTTTAAGTTACAGGAAGACATAACGAAAATCTAAAATATTTCACCAGGACTGGAATGAGGACTGATTAAATTAGGTGAGATCAGGGAAAACTAAAAAAAAATCCCAATATAAATCTATATAATTTGGTATGAAGTTGGCAATATATGAGATGTGAGCCAGTATTTCTTACCTCTTCTGTTTTTAAGGCCTCGCCTGTTTTACCCTGGAGAGCCAAGCGAAGTTGTCTAATATAAACTTGCAAACCTCGTGCAAAGTACTGCAGCCTACATGAAGAAGTTATTTGTTAATTAGCAATTCATCCATTCAATTTTGTTTTTAAATTTAATCTTCTACTATAGCAATACAACACTAAGTGCAGAAATGGGTACATGACCAATAAATTAAACAGTAATGTCCTAAGTTGACAGAGCTTCAAATGTTAAACCTCGGCCTTACCACACAGCAGTGGATGGTAACAGTAACACAATGGCTCAAGCATTTAAGATGTGAATTTGTTAATGGAACAATCAATACAAAGTGTCTTCATGAAAACAACTTCTACTGATTTCTCCAGTGCTGCTCCTCTGGTAACACAGTAAGATATTATTAACAATATAGCACCTACAGTTTAGAGTACCCCCTATTGGCCAGGCACTGTGCTAAAAGCTTTATATTCATTATCTTGTTAAATTCCTGCAACTCTATAAGGTAGGTACTATTATCATTTAAATTAACAGCTGAGAAAAAACATAGGGAGTTAAGAGAGGTTAGAGAATCTGCCCAAGATCATAATGCAAGTAGGAAGAGTCAGAGTCCACTTTTTAAAAAGTTCACCTCCCTGCAATGATTTGTTATGCCATTTCTGTCATAGGTTTACACACATGTCTGTTTTCTGGATCCTCCAATTTGTTCCACTGGGGTAAGGCAGGGAGGATTTGTCAAGGATTGAACCACCTCAATATATCACCTGATTTTGAAATCTTTGAGCTTTTCTGCATTCAGTTTGGCTGTTAAGAAATCTGGAAGTTTTCGGCCCAACTGGTGAAAGCTGTACAACAAACATTCCACATAACTGAACTGCAGCTTGGGTTCTTCATTACCAGCATTCTCACCATTTTCTGCTTCTTCTGGAGGGAGGGGCATATATTCCTAAGAGATGAAAATGTAGTGATGTTTGCAATCTGCTACACCAAGATAATCAAGTAATTATAGGGGATGCTTTTAAGACAAGGAGCATTTCAAAACTATTATACCAAAAACAGCATTGCAATTGGATATGCTACTTTGGTTAAAAGAAAATAGAAGAATTTAAAAAATTTAAAAATAATTAAAAAAAACCCTATTATACCAAAAAACAGACACCTTAAATAAGATTTCTTTTTTACTTACTGGATCAATGCTCTAGCCTGCCAACTATCAATATTAACCTATGTTACAGTTGTTACTACAACTAATGAAAATCAAAGTAGTTAACGTTCATTAGGCACTTATGCATGAAGGAAATGAAGTTCTGAGAGCTTATGTAACTTTCCTGTGGTGACAAAGTTAGGAAGTGGAAGAGTCAGGATTCAATCTAGGCTTGGCATCAAAAGTTGATGCTCCCGTGGCTGGGCATGGTGGCTCATGTCTGTAATCCTAGCACTCTGGAAGCCAAGGCGGGAGGATCGCTTGAGCTCAGGAGTTTGAGACCAGCCTGAGCAAGAGCAAGACCCTCATCTCTACTAAAAATAGAAAAAATTAGCCTGGCAACTAAAACAAACAGAAAATTAGCTAGGTGTGGTAGCTCATGCCTGTAGTTCTAGCTACTTGGCTAGAACAGGAGGCTGAGGCTGAGGCAGGATGATCCCTTGAGACCAGGAGTTTGAGGTTGCTGTGAGCTAGGCTGACACTATGGCACTCTACCCTGGGCAAGAGAGACTCTGTCTCAAAAAAAAATAAAAAGTTGATGATCTTAAATACTATGCTAACTACAAAAATCTTTTGAACATTTGTCCATATTGTTTAAGTATTAACTCTTATTACATTCAAAGTGCTGCCAATAGCGTTCGATATCAGTGCTATAACACCTCAATAAGTATTACAGGTCTGTATGAGACTCAATTAAAGGTAAGGGCCTAACACTTATCACTGTCTCACTTACACAATTGCTCACAGGAGATCACTAAGTGATGCTGATAATGATTTTATCAGATGGCCTATGTTCTCCAAAATTATAACTTAATCACTTTGGTACATCATTCACCGGCCGCGAAACCTTGCCCACAGCCGGCACTCAGAGTCTGCACGATAGTTTGTGCTGTGCATTCATGACGAATCTGTTTTGCTCTTGTGTGATGAGGAAAGCTTTAAAGCACTGAAAGCTTGATTTACTTTACAGGTAGCTTTACTTGTAAATCAGAATAGGTAACATATACACACATGTTTTCATTATGTTATTTTTAAATGTTCATGATTTTATTTTGATAAATGAAAAATTAGAAAAATCATATCACAGCTGTTGGCTAAAGTTGCTGTGCGTGTCCATCTGTGGCTATCGACTATAGTCAACACTGGTACTGAAATGGTTAAATGATAGAGTTTATTTCCTGGTTGCTAAACCTACCTGGTAGCTACCTAGTTAGTGACCTGGAGCAAATGACCTTTTCTAATGTTAACTTCAGTTTTCAGACGTTTTGGCCTAATGAGGAAAGAGCTGATCTATTAGAGGCCTAATCAGTTAGAGCTAATTTCTTTTACAGACATAAAATTATTTTGATACTGGAATAATAGAAAGATCTATATAAAGCTCATATTATATTTTATGCAAAGCATCAACAAAAGAAATGCCAAGATTAAAACAGAGTTTTTAAAAAAGTAGACAGGTGGCCTGAGTGGTTAACAACATTTGCTAGGATTATTGTTAAATTGAAATTTCAAAATCTGGTTCTCATAATCTAGAAATTAATGCTAAATTAGATTTGGGGGATCTATGTAGGCCACATCTATGACACAAAGAAAGGAAAAATTTCTTACCAATAACTTATCAAATAGTTTCCTTAAATTTGTTTCTAGCTTCTCCATGTCACCACAAAATGAACTCATCTCTGCCAACAATTTCAATACCTAAAACACAATATTCACTGTTATTACCACTAGTTTTTGAATAAGCAAAGACTATAAAATGAGAATAATTCTAGATAACTATTATTTCACTTATTTTCAATTATGCTTTCATGGGATCATGTTCAAACTGGAAAAAACCCTTAGAGATGCAGCTCTGTATTTTACCATTGAGGAAAGTGAAGGTCAGAGATGTGACATGGCAAAGTCAGAGTGTTATGTGAGTGGCAGGATATACCCTAAAACCCAGATCTCATGACTCCTAATGTATCTGTGATAAGAAGTAACGAGAAGAATACACATGACACTTTATGCTACAGGTTAATGATAGTGCTAATTACAATGCAAAAAATTATAGATATATTAACTTAGTTTGTACTATAAAGAAACACTTAAAACTCTCAACAGCAAAGAATTATTTACTAACATTCAAGGTGGGACACATTTGTTATTAAATTTACTCTCTGGATATTCACTCAAAATATTGGTAATTATCGCTATCCTCAAGGTTTATCCCTGCTTTACCCAATCCCAGTCTCATGCAGCTAGCCCAGGATATTCAAAGCAAACAACACTGTCAGGGCACAGTGAGACACTTCTCTATCCTGAAGATCTGTGAGAGGAATGGCACATGCATTTCCATATTTCGGTCCAATTCAACACTCATTAAGGACTCTTCATTATCAATCTCTACACTAGATTCTGGGCATACAGAGAATAATCAGGTTAAATTACTCCTTCAGAAATCAAATCTAAGTGAGTGTTTTACATTTTTGTTAAAATGTGACAATGCCTTTTTAGTGCTAAAGCAGAAATATTCTCTTACCTCCAACTGTATATCGAGACCCTCCACTGGGGTAGTTAAGGTACTGAGGTTAGGGAGAACCTGCTCACAGAAATAAGTCACAAACCTTGTGGAATGGACATTTTTCTGTAAAAAATCAAAAGAAATGAAGTGGTCAAAAAGGAGAAATATTTCTTGAAATTCATTCAATAAATGCTAACTGAGCATTATAGCATCCAATAATATGACTAAAAATACACTACAGTACACACACAGCACACCCCAGAGATAACCTCAATAGATGATCTGTGAGGAGACTTCAAAAAGTTCATGAAAAATGGAATTAAAACATAAAAATAAAAAATACAAATGTTTCTCAACATTACCTCCATCAAGTTTGAGACACTTCTGTAAGTGATACTAGCCATTCCTAAATAACTGAGGGAATTAATCATGTCAATGTAGTCTTTTTAAAAAATTATTAACTGAAAAAAAAAAGGGTGTCCTTTAAAGATTTAAGAAACAAAAAGAAATCAGAAATAGTCAAATCAGAACTGTAAAGTAGATGCCTAATAATTTTCCATTGAAGCTCTCACAAAATCGCCCTTGTTTAATGAGAGGAATGAGCAGGAACATTGCCGTGGTATAGAAGGTATCTCTGGTGAACCTTTTACCTGAACATTTTTCTGAGAAAGCTTTCTCAAAACCCTCTCATAATAAGCAGATGTTATCTTTCTTTGGCCCTCCAGAAAGTCAACTAGCAAAATGCCTGGAGTATCCCAAAAACTGTTGCCATGCTCTTGACTGGTTGGTCCTCTTTTGCTTTGACTGGACCACTTCTGCCTCTTGGTAGCCACTGCTTTGACTGTGTTTTGTCTTCAGGATTGTCCTGGTAAAGCCACATTTCATCTCCTATAATTCTTTGAAGAAAGGCTTTGGGATCTTGATCCCTACAGCTGATCTGGATGCAATGGTTTTGTCACCCATTGGGTGGAAAGTTTATTCAGTCAGAATTGTGTAAGCTGAACCAACTGAGATGTCTATAGTGTTGGCTCTTGTTTCTGCTGTTAATCACTGGTCCTCTTTGATTGGGGCATAAACAAGACATTTTCCTTGAAAATTGATGTGGACGGTTTGCTACTTTGGGAGTCATTTTCAACACTGTCTCGTCCTTTCTTAAAATGAGTTATCTGTTTGTAAACTGCTGATTTCTTTGGGGCACTGTCCCTGCTTTTCATAAAGCTTCAGTGATTCACCATTCTTCAGCCCAAGCTTTACCACAAATCAGATGCTTGTTCTTGCTTTAATTTTAGAATTCATGTTGCTCTGATAGGGCTCTTTTCAAACTGATGTCTTATACTTCCTACTGCCTCAAACTAGATCCTATTCATACATGTTATAACAAGTTAGTATGAGTTTATTTTGGTGCAAACAATTTTGAAATCCATACATAATTTTTTCATAATATGCATTTTCCATGAACTTTCTGAAGACCCCTCATATCCTGTGTTGCAAAGTCATCTGGAGCATTGGAACCTATCTTTGAACTCTTCCTTAATTCTCACATGAAATTTGGGGGGACATTTTAATGGTGGACTTTCACACTGCACATTTCGCAAAAAGGATACTTCCTTTAAACTGTATTTTTAAAACTAAGTTATGCACATCCCAGAAGATTCATGGCCAGGGAAAACACAAAGTCTGAGACAGAATGCAAAATTCTTATGACTTTTTTTTTTTTTTTTTGAGACTGGGTCTCACTATATTGTGCAGGCTGATCTCCAACTCCTGGGCTCAAGTGATCCTCTTGCCTCAGCCTCCTGAGTTGCTGAGACTATATATAGGAGCATGCCACCAAACCTGGCATCTCATGACTTTTAAAAATCTAAAATGCTCCAAAATCCAAAACTTCCTGAGCATAGACATGATACTCAATGGTCATGCTCAAAGGAAATGCTCATTGAAGGATTTCAGATTTTCGGATTAGGGATGCTTAAACTGGCACTATGCAAATAAATATTCCAAAATCCAAATTCCAAAACATGTCTCATTCCAAACATTTCAGATAAGGGATATTCAATGTGTATTCACTTTATTGTGTTAAGAATACTTTTATGGAAAGGTTTAAAGAGAATGTTAAAGTGAATATCTATAGAAATATAAATAGCTGATAGGATAATCAAAGTACCAACTACGTAAAACAAAGAACTTACAGAAAAGAGGGGTACTGCCTGCCGAGTGCACTGTAAGAGCCTGTCCACACAGTCGGGATCTGAGGGATTGAAGGTCTGCTCTAGATCAGCCTGTTCAGCCACCAACTCTACAAGTTGCTGTCTTCCACTCACTGTCTGTAAGCTTTTTAGCCCAGACAGTATCTTCATGAACAGAACAAATTCTTCACCAGTCACATCTTCTAGGACCTAGAAAAGAGAAAAGTCAGGATAATAGTATCTTTATCGCTTGAATAGGAAAGAAAAACCAATATGGAAAGAGAGTAGCAAATTTATTTCAGTTATTAAAGTCAGTGTGATATTAATGCTTCTGAAATACTGATGAAGAGAGCCAATCAGAGTTGAGGCCATAAGGTAAAGCAAGTTAACTGAATTCCTTAGTTATCCCTCAGGACAATGAGGACAGAAAAACTGGTCCATCTTGACAGAGTACAAGACACAGTGGCCACCATATAAGTAGGTAAGAAGAAATTAGATGATAGACTTCCAACATGGAAGAACATCCATTTAAAAGCTCTGGAAAGTGGTAAACTATTCTGATATTCCCACGTGGAAAGCTGTTCTTTTCTCTGTCACTGAAAAAATCTTATCAGGAAGCAAGTGAATGATGCTATTATAGAGAACACATTGAATCTTCTTGAACATATAAAAATAGTAAGTTATCTCTAAACTTTGGCACTGTAAAATGAGTGAAAAGTTAATTGTAGCACACCTTGCCAATCTCAGCATCTGTAACTATGCTAGGTGCTGGGAGGACAAATAAGCATGATCTCACCCTTGAAGAGCATATAGTGTCATAGGGTAGGATGAAAAAATAGACCATTTCAATATAATATATTTCATTTTGAAATGACCAAGAATACTATGAAAGAATACCCTAAAATGGGGAAAAAGAGTAGGAATTAGGGAAAGTTTCCTGAAGAAGGTGATTTGTACAAAGACCTGCAGGATGCACAGATTTTGAGGATAATACCACATAGGATTTAAATGTGATTACAACTCTAAATTAACGCACTGATTCATCATTACAAGTAACCAAAGCACTAAATAACGATATAAGAAAGACTTGAAAGTTCTGTGGTGGTTCTGATGGGATATACCATTTTATACACAAGCCACACATTGCACTGATGAATACTGCCAATTACAAATATGTTCTTTTTCTACTAAATGATGACTGAAACATACCTTTTTGGATTCTGTTAGTATAAGCTCCTCCACTTCCTTTGTTAAGACTTCATCCGGTAAAGTTTTAAGTTTTGTAGAAAGGAATTTAATTGCTCTTTCTCTAACGATGTCCTCTCCTTGAAGTATTTGGCTGAACAACCCACCTAACGTCCCTGCAAAATGACATACAGTCTGTAGTAAGTCAATTCTATGATGAAGTTTTTCATTTTAATTCAATTTATAGCATTTCTTCTCAAACAAGTTAGTAAGCATCCTAAATTGCATCAATACAAGTTAAAATTAGTTTGAAATTTCTACAGCCCCAACTGTAAGAGTGATTATGTGCTTTGTTTATGGACACAAAGCCAGTGTGAGCATGACTTTCCTTTTTTAAAAATCATTATTTGGGGCCGGGCGCTGTGGCTCACGCCTGTAATCCTAGCTCTTGGGAGACCGAGGCGGGCGGATTGCTCAAGGTCAGGAGTTCAAAACCAGCCTGAGCAAGAGCGAGACCCCGTCTCTACTATAAATAGAAAGAAATTAATTGGCCAACTGATATATATATAAAAAATTAGCCGGGCATGGTGGCGCATGCCTGTAGTCCCAGCTACTCGGGAGGCTGAGGCAGAAGGATCACTGGAGCCCAGGAGTTTGAGGTTGCTGTGAGCTAGGCTGACGCCACGGCACTCACTCTAGCCTGGACAACAAAGCGAGACTCTGTCTCAAAAAAAAAAAAAAAATCATTATTTGGAAGAATTTCTTTAAAGTGGCAAAGGGAATTTTTCTAACAGATTACTCATGAAAGAATTCGATCTGTTTTTGCAACTATTTCTGCTGGTTTTTCTAGTCACTAACATCTTGAGCTGAGGAGACTTTTTTCAGAATATAAAGAATTTTTATGAAATAGATCTCTAGATGAACCTCAGACTTTATCTTTAATTAGTAACATAAAACTCCCTGATTTTTTCTAAACACCAAACACAATTCAGAATAAGAACTGGCCTTACCTTTTGCATCCATCTTAAATATACTTAACAGGGCATTGTTCACTAGGTTAAATTCTGCAGAGTCATCTGGATAGAGAAAAAGCAGCACAACGAATGTAAAACATATTAAAAATACCATATGCTTCAATTTCAAACTTAAGATTCAATATAGTTTCTCAAAGATTACATTGACAGGAGACTTATAACTAAGTCACTTCCTCAAGTACCAAAAAGAGACATCTTTCTTATTATAAGTGTAGAGAACTTAATCTGGCATGCCTGAAAAACTTTTATGTTGATAGTACAATTATGAAACTACAGGAAATTGGGGAAAAAATTATGATGCATCAAAATTCCCAAAAGAATCCAGTCATCATGGCTGTATAAACAGATTTAAAAACAAAACAATGCTAGAATTATTACACAATCAGAATTCATTAAGCTTCTGCACCAGCCACTAGAAAGGAGTAAAAAAAAAGTCATTAAGCTTCAAATTACTGAATGAAAAGGTTAATTACTATCAGAGGAAGGACCTTTAGCACCCTCCCCCAAAGCTAAAAACAGAGTCACTATTTCAGAGGGAAGTTATATTTAGATTAAAAGATAATAATAAAGTCCCTTACCTGTCTGTAGAAGTTGGGTTAGTATATCTGCCACTCGGGGAAGATTTTCTCCAGTGGCAAATTGAGGCAGCTCTTTAATTGCTTGACGTCGAATCTGGGCATGATTTTAAACAAGAATTAAGCAAATACTATCATCTTTAAAACAATAAACTCAGCTTTTTTTTTTTTAAAAAAAAACTAAAACTACAGAGAAACCATAATTAGGGACATATGAATCACAAAAATACAAAACATGAGATTTCTCGCAATTTACAAAATAATCTGCTCCAATTTAGTTTTCATGTTTCACAGAATAAATAAAGTAAAATGTAGTGGAAAGGGATGTTAAGCACAGTATCTGACCAGAGCAGACAGATATGAGATTATAAACAACTATTTATATACCAATGATACACAACTGTTGGTTTTTTTTCTACCTTTGGGCATATAATACAGTATTCCTTAAATATAGCTACTTTGGCAATGTCATAGCTAATAACTGCTTACTTTAGAATATTCAGTATTGAGTACTTAATACAACTTTTGTGGCTATCTTCTATGAGCTTAATTCCAAATACTGATCTTGACTTATTAGAGTTTACATAAAAAAATGTACAGAGTTCATGTCCAGCAAATTCTGCAAGAAATACTGGTGATTCACTGATCTCATTTGAAAAGCCAGGACCTAATAGTTTAAAATTCTTAGGAACCTGTATCAGAAGCCAGAAATGCCAACAGTTAATTATGTTCCAAGGAAAACTATTTCTTCTTATGCTGGTAATACAATTTTTAAACAGACCAATTATTTTTGTGCCATGCAAAACATATAAGGGTATTGAAACTACATTTTGGGATGTGACACTGTTAATACTTTAAATATTCAAGTGAGCACAAATTGAAAACAGTCTAATTTCATATGTACAACCAACAACAATTTATGAAAAAGATATGAGCCACCTGTTTTTTTTTTGAGACAGAGTCTCACTTTGTTGCCCAGGCTAGAGTGAGTGCCGTGGCGTCAGCCTGGCTCACAGCAACCTCAATCTCCTGGGCTCAGCGATCCTACTGCCTCAGCCTCCTGAGTAGCTGGGACTACAGGCATGCGCCACCATGCCCGGCTAATTTTTTGTATATATATTTTTTTAGTTGGTCAATTAATTTCTTTCTATTTTTGGTAGAGACGGGGTCTTGCTCAGGCTGGTTTCGAACTCCTGACCTTGAGCAATCCGCCCGCCTCGGCCTCCCAAAGTGCTAGGATTACAGGCATGAGCCACCGCGCCCGGCCGAGCCACCTGTTTTTAACAGTGGATAATGGATAAGCAAAACAAAGTATTTTAGGATTCTATGCAGCTTTCGTAATTGAAAGGTGAGAAAAAGAACTAATACATTTTCTCAAATGTAGATTTAAGCCTGGGTATGGTGCCATGCCAGAGCTCATTGCAGTATTTCATTATACACTGGTACGATTGCAGTATTTCATTATACACTGGTACGATTGCTACTTAAATTATAACAGCCACACACAAAAATCATCTGAAAGATTGCTGAAAAGTGTTATTCACAAACTTACTGATACATCTTCATCCTCACAGAGGTCTAACTGTGCATTGATAGCAGAATCAGCCAATTCTGGAAAATGCTTAAAGAATTTCGGAATAAACTGAGCCGCTAATCGTTTTTCCTTAGTACCACCCTTCACACCATCCAGTATCACTTGATAGGCATCTTTATGCTGAAAAAGAATAAAGCAGAGAAGACAAATCAAAGAGCTGGCAAGAAAAATTTAAATCTTATTTTTCCATATAAAATATATAAAGGGTAACTGAAGTCTATTCATAATTGATGTTAAACTATTTGATGAAACTGATGCCTACTAGTGGTAGAAATTTTGATTATTTCTAGTTTGAATATGTTGAAATGTCTTAACTTTCTAAGGGCTTGCTGTGCTTGGGATGCTGCATCCCAGTTTAGATACCTGTGTGGAGCCCATATTTAGGCTTAAATTTTACCTCTGACGGTCCAGGATCTGACAAGCTTCCCCCCACCCCTTTGTTAACTGAGGTCTCAGAAAATGAGTTTAAAAGACTCCAATTAAATTGGTGATCACAGTGATTTAGTGACACAGCTAAGAAAGTAACTACAATAAAATATTTCAAATAGTATAAAGCACTGATTATTTTTCAACTTCCAACACAGTTGTATATTTCAGTTAGATACATAAGTTTGTAATCCTGACAAGAAGCTTTAATCATCAACACTTTAAATGTATTTCTAAAACTGTGTATTTTGGTGTGTGTTTAATACCTAATTTGAAAGCAGAACTCTAAAGAAATCAGTAAGATTCTTTTAAGTAAAAGTCAGGTATAATTTGCTCTACATTCATCAGATATATTCTAAAAGAAAAAAATTGTGGTCCTGATTGTCAAAACACAACCAATAGGCATAAGTGGCCAGTGATGCAGCAGGTAAGGCCATGTTTGCATCTAGGATGCAACTTATAAGAAATAAAGCGTTACTTTAGAGACGTAGTTTCAACAAACATATTTCTCAAGTATGATACAAAAAAAAATTGGCTAAGCTATATTACCACTTTCTTCCTCAGACTCAATAAGTCTAGTTTGCATTTGATACTAAAGTAGGTTGTTAATACTTCCACATATTTTTGAGGGATTATGAACTTGGTTGATTTGTGATTTTAGCTTCATCATACCAAAACAAACAAACAAAAACCAAAAAACCTACTAGAAGAGTAGTATTTCATGAAGTAAAAGTCAGTAAAGCCCTGAAGAGCTCTTTTACCCTGAAGAGCTAGTGTATTCAATGATTAAGAGAACAGGAGAAATCAGAGTTTAGGCATTACATAGATGTACTCTTAGATCAGCCTAATTGTCATAGTCCCTAAACAGGTATCTGATATTTTTTTTAACTTTTAGAAGATTTGACTATGTAATATTTATCTACATTTTAAAATTAAGTAAATTCATAAAAATTTGAAGCAGAATTTAAAATAATGGTGGGCCACAGCTTACTCTATTATGGCAGGTCGGCAACCCTGTCCAGAGTGCAGTGGAAAAGAGATTAGACAGGTAAAAAGAACACACAGCAGAGGAAGAAGACCTGAACAAGAAGTAGCAGAGGCAGAACAGGGGAAAGTAGGAAGAGTAAGTAAGTAGAACATGGCAGTTATAAGAGGAAAGATAATAGAACAGGAAGGTTTTGAAGTATTAAATAATGCCTCACTTAGAATTATCACCTGCAGTTTGCTTATTAGAAAATACATGCTTGTGTGTGTGTATAAAGTAAAAGTTACCTTTTTCAATTATCAGAGATAATCCTTGTAAACTTTTTTTTTTTAACACTTATATCTGTTCTTTCTTCGTATATATATTTTCAACTTTGAGAAAAGAAATGTCTACTGAAGGCTGAAGGGCAAAGTACAGAGCAAGTAGAAAAGCAAAAATAAATAAATAAATAATAATAAAAAAAGAATTTAACACTTAAAGACTTAGTAATTTAGAAAGGGAATAAAAGTCCTCACATGATATAAACTACAAATATGAAATGCTAAATAAATATATACAAATATAGTGCCAAAGGGGTTCAAAAAGGATCTGATCTGCTTTAGGGAAATTAGTTGATAAAACCTCAGAGGACTTGTGTTTATCCTATCTATTTAGAGGGCACTACCTGGAAGAGTATTGACAATAGTTCAGACAGGATGGCTTGCAGTGACAACAATCTGAGCAACTGTGGTACTCACCTCTCTGGCAAAGGCTAAAAATCAAAATAAAAGGTAGATGAAAGTTCAAACTCAAATATGGTCTCAGAAGCGTCCAGCCAGCATATTTCCCAAGAAACCTAAGTCTTGATTGTAAATCTCAAAAGTTAATATGAAAATCAGGCTTTGCTACATCAAGAACATGAATATGGCTTTAATCCCTTTAAAAAAAGTTAATGGTGTTCCCTCCTTTAAGTTGCTCTTACTTTTGCTGGTTAAGATTACAAGCAAAATCCTAAAACCTACTATCTTTTTTGGTGAGCAGTTTTAGACATCTTCTCTAAATGAAAGTATTATACAATAGAGAAGAATTCATAGGCATTATGGTTTGTCCAGCTTCAGTTCTACCAGAATTCACTGTTTGAGCCTGAGCAAATTGCTACACTTCATCATGCAGGTATCTTTTGCTCTTTAGTTGCTTGACAGCTGTCATTACAGAAGGCAAGGATTGTCCGTCATCTACAGGGAATTGTGCTAAATTCCAGTACCTAGCACAGTGTACATGGTTGGTGCTCAAAAATGTACTGAACAAATTGTGGGCCCTCATTAAACTCTAGACGAAAGGGTATCTCTTTGGTTTTTCAAAGGCTTGTCTCTTAAACACCCTTCCTAAATTAATAGCAGATTTTTGCCACGACAAAAACATTTTTGACCTCTTTGAGAGAACTCTCATTTCAATCTGGTTTATGTAATTAAAAGTGACATAAGAGGGAAATGTGAGCAACTCTCAATTATGATTAATAGTACTACATGTAAGTTCCAGCTTGGTTTCAATTTGTTATACTCTAAATATGTGGATGTCAACCTTTTTTCCAATCCAGCAAAAAGTGAGAGTAGGGGGACTGGACAGCACGATGTGTATGGTTTCAAAGAATCCCTAGAAGATTCTTGATAAATCTCTTTGGGAGAGCATCAACTATGAACTGATTGAGAATCACTGTTCTAGCTTCCACCTCATCCCCTCTGCTGATGCCCAACAAAGTCCAATGTAGGCAGAACAATGTGCTACGATCTTCTCCAACTCAGTCACAGACAAATTAAACAACAATTAAGAATATCTTCACTACTAGTTCTGGGAACAACAAAAATAAACTATGATTGACAATAGTGTCTCTCATCTTGTTTTAATGGACAGAAAATTCCTCCTTAACGACTGACACAAGACAGATTCTATTCACTTTTATAAATGGTCAGTCAGTATACATGTCCCATTAACAGTGAAATTCCCCAAGGAAATGGAAATAAGTAGGGAAGGAAAACCATCTGATACTTGAAACTGGTATGTTCACAATTCTAGATTAAATTTCAAAAAGGCCACAATGTAAACATTTTTTTGTTCAGCTCAGAAAGGTTACATTTGAATCACACATGTCCAGAAAAGAGGATGGGAAGGGTACTGCCATAGCTTTGCTAACGTTATGTTAGACTCTAGAATCTTCCACTCTCTACTCCAAGGGATGCATAAGCAGAGAATCCTATAAAATTCTAAGCATTGAAAAACGGGATTTCTAAAACAATGATCGAGATTATCTCTAGGAGAGCCTGGTTCTTTACCCAAGAAAACACTCATCAACTCCTCAAGTTCAATGTACTCCAATACTTGGAAACTCACACAAAAATCCAATGGCTCCTACCAACCATTCAATACTGCTGAGAAACTGTGTCTGCGGCAAACAAAGCAAGAGAACTCTTCCAGACGAATCTAGCCCTGCACCTCCCTACTCCCTGTTGCACTGCCTTATTCTATTTTCTTCACGACCCCCTCCATCTTTCTTATTTATTTATCACTAGACTCCCTCACCAAATGTACATTCCAGGAGACCACGGATCTTTCCATCTGTACCTCCAGCGCCCGGCACAGCCCCTCGTGCGCGGCAGGCGCTCAGAAAGTGTGCCGAATACATGGAATAGTGAGCCCACATTAAAGTCTGGACGAAAGGGTCTCTCTTCTGTTTTTCGCAAACTTGTCTCCTAAGCGCTCTTCGTAAGTTTGTAGCAGATTTGCCTCCAAAAAGACATTTCTTGACCTTTTGAGGAAAACTCTCAATCTAATCTTCAAAGGACCGAAACCCACCAAAAACGAGGAGAAAAAGTTAAGAGCAATCTGCAGAGTAAAGCTCGAGAGAAGAATTAACGTGAGCCTGAAGGGGCTGAGTTTGGAAACGCCACGATGAGAAAAGGCTGGCCGAGAGAGGCAGGGAAGGCTGGGACCCGGGGGACCGCGGTCTCCAGGGCGAAGCCAGAGTCTACACTCCCAGAGCCCCTCCCCGACGCAATCGCTTGAGGCGGCTGGGAGCCCGCGGGAGGGCGAAGTAGCAGCCCCCGCCCGGCCCGGGGACCGCGGCGGGCATCGCCTTCCAGAGGCCGCGGAGCGCCGGGCCCTGCAGGCCGCTCGGGGACTCACCTGGCCCACTTGCTCCGTGGCATCGGCTAGGATGCCGTAGTTGCGGTAAAGCTCCTCTACCGACGGCATGGTGAGCGACAAGGCCGGGGCCCGCTCCCGCTGTCGTCGTAGTCCCCGGCGCCACTGCCGCCTCGGAACTTCTCCAAGCCCACAACCCACACTATTACGCCTCCAGCTGCCGCCAGTGCCGCCGCCAGTCACCGCGCACAGGGCGGCTCCGCCCCCAACGCTTACGTAAAGTCGTGCGCGTCGGGAGCGGCCTTTAGTGGAAGCCCATGAGCCGCCTGGGGTTTTGTCGCCCTCTAACGCTTGGAGGTGCGAAAAGCGGCAAGGACGATTAGGTTAGCTCACGCCTTTTTGGAAGATGGTGCTTGGCTTGGAGTGATCGTACCAGGAAATAGAAGTGCGGGAGGGAGTGCAAGCTGTATGAGAAGTCACAAACTTTATTTCCTCCCGAGTTAAAGAGAGTAACTTAAATCTGTGGTAATAGAGGGTAGTCGGCCCGCTTGTAAGCACAAAGCATTCAGATGCCATTAAAAAAACCCTCTGTGTCCGCCCAGTGTGGGGCTCCAATTTGGCTGCTGGAAGAGTTTGTCTTTGCTTGCTGCCTGGATAAAGAATTGGGTCCTCCTGATTAGGTTTACTATTCAAGAGGGTAATAAATAAATGAAATCATATATGCTTACTGATAAGAGTTTCTAAGATACGAGTTTAAGTGGGAAAAAAAAATAGAAGTTGCAAAACAGATATAAGGTGAACCCATTTCTGTAAAACAAAGCATACAAAACAAAGTCATGTGTGTATGTGTAAAAGGATGTTAAAATCAAAATTTCAAGATTGAAACATCGAACTATAACAGACGAACTATACGTTTCAAAGCTGAATCCACTTGTGAAGAATATATACAGGAAATGGTTAAAAAATAATTCCCTGGCTCTTGTACCTCTTGATCACCATACCCGGCTTGTCCAGCTTTTCTATGATGACTATGTAATTTTATACAGATTCTCCTTCCTTTGCATTGGATCTGTGGATGATTTCAGAGATCGTTTGGTCAAACTTCCTCTATTCTTACAAAGTCAAAATTCAATCCCAGAGAAAATAATTGGATTGGCTGAGCTTAGGTCACATGTCTGTTCTGTTCAATTAGTTAAGAGCACGAAAGCAAGATTATACAAAGCAAACATTGCCGATGGGGCCCATATCTATAGATGAAGGAGGGTGGGTGAGGAGTGTGAGGAGGGTGTCAATCCCTTTTGGAGGAGTTGCTGTAGCATCTGCTATGATCTGAATGTTTTTGTTCCCTCTAAAATTCATGTTGAAACTTAATCTCCAATGCAATATTAAGAGGTGGGGCCTTTTGGAAGAGATTAGGTCATGAGGGCTCATCCCTCTTGAATGGGATGAAGGTCCTTACATTACTTATATCAGGTGCTTCACACAGCATTTGACTGTTTTTGTCTTTCAGTCCTTCCGCCATGTGAGGACACAGCATTTGTCCTCTCCAGAGGACACATTATAAGGCACCAACTTGAAGCAGAGAGAGCATCCCTTACCAGACACCAAACCTACATGTGCCGTGATTGTGGACTTCCCAGGTTCCAGAATTGTGAGAAATAAAATTCTATTATTTATAAATTACTCAATCTCAAGTATTTTGTTATAGTGGCACATACAGACTAAGATAGCACCGTCTGTCAATGGGTATGCCTGAGGGCCATCTGGATTCCATTCTGTCAAGCTGAGTGCTTGAGTAGAGACTGTGTTTGGGCTCATCATTCAGCAAGTATGTACTGAACATCTCATATGAGCCAGGAATACTGTAGAGTGCAACCAAGCCAAGCAAGCATGAAGCTTACATTCTGTCAGAGGAAGAGAAACAGACAAAATACACACGTAAAATGTGTTTGGTTTACAAAATTAAAGCAGTAACATCAGCATAGAACAAAACCACAGAATAGAAGGGCTTTATATACTGACACTCATGACAGTCTGGAATTAGCCTTACCATGTCTAGAGAGATCTGGGCATGACTAGCACTTTCTCTGGAAATTCACAGTGAGCATCTTTTCCCTTTTATTGTTTATCTATGACACTCAATTCTTTCTAGTTTATACTGCAGTTGTTTGTATACACCTCTACCAAATAATATAACTTGGTGTTCAGGAACTACTTGTTAGATGTTTAATAAATGTTAAATAAATGAAAGAATTGAACTAAGGAATAACAAATAAATTCTAACTTATCTGAGAACAGTGTATTATAGTATGACAAAAGTTTCTACTGATTTCTTGGCAATAGTTCAGGGTTTTTTTACTTTGTTTTTATTTTTATTATTTTATTTTATTTTTAGGAAAACCATTCTCCCCTTCTCCTAACCTCCCTTTCACTCACCTACCTAACAATCAGTGGATTTTGCCCTATTGTGACATTTTGAGTACTGTGACTGTCTTAAAATCTATGTATTTTGTAATTTTGAAGTTGGGTTTTGTTCTCTATTAATTATATATTGAAAGGCTTAAAGGACTACCCCCTCCCCAGCCACTGTTTTGTATGCTTTGTATTTTGGATTAGTCTTTAGCCTACATTCTGAGAGCTTTTATTTTAATCCAATTTCTGTCTTCCAAGGAGGCCTTTTTAATTCTAACAGAAAAGAAGATCATGACTCTCTAGAAAAAACAAAGAAAGATTTTTAAATTAAGGTCTAGCTGGGTTTTAATTGAACTAATGATCATAATCATAGCAAATATCCATTAAGTGTTTACTGTGTGCTGAGTAGCATGTGTGTTATAGTAGTAGCTAAATCTTATGGAGTGACTGCTATTTACCAGGCTTCACCGATTACTTTACACATTTTAACTCATATAATATTCACGACAACGTTTCGTAAAGTAGGTACCAGCATTATCCCTGTTTTATAGATGGAGAAAACAAGACACAGAAAGGTTAAGTACCTGCCTAGAGTCACATAGCTGGTGAGTAGACATTCTTAGGTTCATATCCAGTCATTCTGATGGTTGCACCTCTATTATATCAAACTGCCCCTTATTTGAATGTGTTCATTTCTTTTTTTTTTTTTTTTTGAGACAGAGTCTCACTCTGTTGCCCGGGCTAGAGTGCCATGGCGTCAGCCTGGCTCACAGCAACCTCAAACTCCTGGGCTCAAGCGATCCTACTGCCTCAGCCTCTCGAGTAGCTGGGACTACAGGCATGTGCCACCATGCATGGCTAATTTTTTCTATATATTTTTAGTTGGCCAATTAATTTCTTTCTATTTATAGTAGAGACGGGGTCTCGCTCTTGCTCAGGCTGGTTTTGAACTCCTGACTTTAAGCGATCCCCAGGCCTCGGCCTCCCAGAGAGCTGAGATTACAGGCGTGAGCCACTGCGCCTGGCCTGGCCTGAACGTGTTCATTTCTAAGTCAGGTGTGGAGTCTCACAGTTCCTTATCAAGGTACTTCCAACCTTCTGCCAGGGGAGTTTCACATACTTTTTAGTGGTACCTACTTCATAGGCTGAATTAGATGAAATAATAGAGATTAAAAACAAATAACAGAGATTAGTGCCTGTGACAGTACCTGGCCCATGTAAGTGCTCAATCACTGTTGGCACCTTTCCCTTGTACCATTTTCAGATCGTGTTAATTTATATTTTAAGAATAAATGATCATTGGTCCCTGCAAGTTGCTCTCCAGAGGTAAATTTGTTGCCTCTGATTCTACTTCAAATATTGGGAACAAGGGTGCATGCGTTTCCCATGGCTGCCATGACAAATTACAACACACATGGTGTCTTAAAACCATTTTATGATCTCACAGTTCTGGGGTGAAATTTATGCTGTCACAGTTCTGGAGGCCAGGAGTCTGAATCTAGATGCTGTGGGCAGGACCACGATCCTTCCAGAGGTTCTAGGGGAGATTCTGTTCCTTGCCTCTTCCGGTTTCTGGTGGCTGTCAGCATTCCTGGGCTCCTAGTTGCATCACTCGAATCTCTGCCTCTGTCTTTACCTGGTCTTCTCCTGCATCTATCAAATCTCTTCTGTGTGTCTCCCGTGAGGATACCGGTTATGGGACTTCAGGCCCACCTGGATAATTCAGGATGATCTCATCTTGAGATCCTTAACTTAATTATATTTGCAAAGACTCTTTTTCCAAATAAGGTCATGTTCACAGTTTCTGGGGATTGGGAAGTGGGCATATGTTTTTGGAGAACACCCTTCAAACCACCAAAAGGATTAAGAACAGAAGCTCGGGGGTCAAACATCCCTGGTTTGGGCTGTGCTGTTTACTTGATAGGTAAGAGATTCTCAAGGCAATGTATATAAAAGTGTTTTGTTTTTTTTCTTCCTACAAAGGAAGGGAAAGAAGTTCCTCTTCTCTCTGCCCTATTGCTGAGAAAAATGACAACCAAGGCTTGATATAAGTGTCATATATATGATTTATTATAAGGAAATGACTCATGTGATACGGAGGCTGGCAAGTCCAAATCTGTAGGGTGGGCGGTCAGGCTGGAGACCCAGGAGAGCCGATGATGCAGATGAAATCCAAATGCAATTTTTGGACTGCTGGACGATTTTTTCTTACTCAATTTTTGTTCTATTCAGGCTTCCTTCTACTGATTGGATGAGGCCCACTCCCATTTTGGGGGGCAATCTGTATTACCCTACCAAATAAAATATTAATCTCCTGGCGTGGTTGCGGAGAGAGAGGAACACTCCTACACTGCTGGTGGGACTGCAAACTAGTTCAACCTCTGTGGAAAGCAATATGGAGATACCTTAAAGCGATACAACTGAATCTACCATTTGATCCAGCAATCCCATTGCTGGGCATCTACCCAAATGATCCAGTGACACTACAAAAAAGACACCTGCACCCGAATGTTTATAGCAGCACAATTCATAATTGCAAGGCTGTGGAAACAGCCCAAGTGCCCATCAATCCAAGAATGGATTAATAAAATGTGGTATATGTATACCATGGAGTACTATTCAGCTCTAAGAAACAATGGTGATAGAGCACATCTTATATTTTCCTGGTTAGAGCTGGAACCCATACTACTAAGTGAAGTATCCCAAGAATGGAAAAACAAGCACCAGATATATTCTCCAGCAAACTGGTATTAACTGAGTAGCACCTAAGTGGACACATAGGTACTACAGTAATAGGGTATTGGGCAGGTGGGAGGGGGGAGGGGGGAGGGGGTGGGTATATACATACATAATGAGTGAGATGTGCACCATCTGGGGGATGGTCATGATGGAGACTCAGACTTTTGGGGGGAGGGGGGGAAATGGGCATTTATTGAAACCTTAAAATCTGTACCCCCATAATATGCCAAAATAAAAAAAAATTAAAAAAACAAACAAACAAACAAAAATATTAATCTCATCCAAACACACCCTCACAGAAACACTCAGTATAATGGTTGGGCAAATATTTGGGCACCCTGTGGCCTAGCCAAGTTGATGCATAAAATTAACCACCACAGGGCTTAACCAGATGGTTCTGCAAACATTGACTGAGAGACCCCTGCGTCACA